CCGTTCGCTGCGAAACAGTAATCTTAATAAAGATTCATATGTCTCCACTCATCTCAATCTAGCAGAGATATACTGAAAGGTTTTCTGACCGTATACAACTAAGGGTGTTACTTTTCATTTCCTAACGTCTTAAACTGGCGCCCACAGCCTCTTACGTACCTGTCTGATATCGAGTGGTATCAGCGGAATGTTTTTTAGGGGGTCACAACCTCTTAAGAGGACGGCTATATTTTTGCCACCATTTTTTCTAAGATCAGTTTTTACGTTACAAAATTTTCCAGTATTTTTACATCGAGTGGTTTTGTGAAACTCCCTTCAAGTCTTCGAAGAAGACGGAGTTTCAGTTATATACTGAAAAACCGGTGTTATGATGGGTTTTTTTTAACCTATTTAAAGTTTGAGCGGTCATAACCTCTTAAACTGGCGCTCACAGTCACTTACGTCGGTCACAACGTCTTACGTACCTGTCTGGTATCGAGTGATATCAGCGAATGTTTTTTAGGGGGTCACAACCTCTTAATCAATCGGTCACAATCTTTTAACGAGTCGTCGTTGCTCATTTTTCTTCTTACATCCACTATTAGTATCGTCATTGCTCATTTTTCTTTTAGGGCCCCCCGTCCCCTCAGAAATTATCTCTCAGACCGTACATCCGATCTTGCGGAAAATTTCCATAAATGTTAGGCACAATGAGTTACGGGAATGAAAAAATTTTTTTGTCTCCAAGTCTTACGGTTTAGGAGTTTTCCATTAATTAACGTTTAATCGATATGCGAAAAGCGTCTCAAGCATAGATTGAACAGTTTCTGCTATTTCGTCGTTTATACACCGTTTCAAACGAAAAAAAGCTCATGGGTACTATTGGAAAATGTTTTTCATACAATAGCCTACCGTACAAAAAATCTAAACAGATGAAACAAATTGTGAACGTCAAATCCGTTTATGTGCATGGTCTAAATAAAGATTTATAATATGTGGGTACAACGTTTATGTTGTCGGAAATAAAAGCAATTTCATGAGTCGACCGTAGCACTCGAAGATGCCTGAAGCTTGGACAAAAACTTTTGAAAGCAAATAATTTTACCCATCAAGGATAGACAAATTATTTTCTTTTTGTGCTCATATTACCATGACCATGACAGGAATGTTACTAACTGATATGTAAAGGAGTCCGATCACTTGACTTTACCGAGAGATCTAGTAGGAGGTTCTCAGTGCACGATGCTTTTTGTCGGCATCATTTAAAAAATTACTGCAGCCCAACTCAAAACATGGGGCATAGAACATTTATATATTTGATAAAAGTGCAAAAACTTGGCTACAGTATGATATAAAGTCTGCACGTTAAAGACCCTCGCTAAATAAAAAAACTACTGTTATTTTAGAAACATTGTGGTTGTGACAAATGACCGAAAAAGGAGGAAAAAGTTGTTAACACTTTTGGTGAAAGTTGAACTTAAAAATGAGTAATGATAAGCAACAGCGAACTGTTGCAGAGTCCTTTTCACTAAAAAAGTAGTGCCCTTGTAAAATGAATCAGGCTCTTCAACAGCAGCTGAAGATATTGAGTAAACAACTTGTGTATGCTGAAAAATGAATAGATTAACGTCTGAATTTTCGAGGAACTAAGTTAGTTTTTCAGAAATCCTCTCAAAAACCTGTCCTTGAAGGTGAGTTTGTAAACTTTTTTGCTTTTTAAAATACTTGTCTCGGTGTCTTGTGTTGACTGATGAAACCGCAGCGCTTTCCGGTCAAAACCGACTCGAAAAACAGTGTTACGCCTTTTAATTTGAAATGAGTAGTAGAAGTAGCATGAGAATGGAAAAAGAATACAAGAAAAGTTAAATATTGTAACTAGAGATAGGACTCATTCTATGCAAAGAAACGTTCACATTGCGTATACTTGGATTTGCCCTAAAGTTCTTGTACCATGGTTGATTCTCGTTTCGACAGTCCTTTTTCTGATGCCGCATCATAATACGCCTTGAGATTGAAAATCTATGATCTTTTCCATACCACTACATCTTTTTTCTTCAGTTTTCTTCTTCTTTTATGTAGGAGATTGTTTTTCTCTACCACCACCTAGTCGGATAAATCCGTTTTGGTGCTATATTATTAACAATTAACGCTACAATTAACATTAGTGTTGCACCTGTAAGAACAGGCATCAAAATATACAAAAAATTTCCCCATGGTAACGCCGGTTCACCAGTAACTGCAATTAAGGCTGTCGCACCGCCTGGAGGATGAGTAGTTTTTGTGATTTGCATAACAACAATAGCAAATGCTACGGCTAATGCGCAAGCAACCGATCGTTCATGTTTCACGAGAATAACACGTACAATACAACCGACTAGTGCACTTAATACATGTCCCCCGATGAGGTTTCGTGGTTGAGCCAACGGAGAAGTAGGCGCACCATAAATGAGAACCGCTGAAGCACCGAATGACCCGATTAAAAATTGCAGAGCGTGCCTATATAATGAAATTAGACAATGTGCTAACAAAACCACAAAGACGAGAATTACCTAGTAAGAACACGATAATGTAACAATGCAACGAATAGAATGCCCAGAAATGCACCTAACCAACTCCAAATATATTCTTGCCATCCAACACGTTTTTCACCTTTTTCATGTGCACCCAAAAATTTTTTTAAATACTTTGTTATCCACGTTCTCAGCCAAAACTTCTCCGCTTCTGGTCGATTCTGTACAAAATGAGTAGAATGATAATTGTAAATAGGGCTGCCGCTTTCTTCTTATCCTACTAGTCAGCTGTTAACTTACTAGAAAAGTGAATTAGTGAGTAGCAAGAAAATACTCACTTTTACTAGAAAGTTGTAAGCTTACTATTATCGGCGCCGAAATATAGTGCATTCCATTGTTTTTACAATAACTCAACAACGATAGGTGCTAGAGACTTGCGATTTTCAGCAATCGAAAGTAGACACTTGAAGCTAACTTTGCATAAGCAAAAACTAGTTTGGAAAAGATCGACCTTTGAAAAACTAGCTTAGGTTTGCGAAAACAAAAATAGCAATTCACCGATTTTTCTTCATAGGTAGATACCCAAAGTATCTTCTACAGATGCTGAATCTCGTGGCAACATTTGTTTTTCAAAAAAGTTTCAAAAACCTAGTGAAAATGTATATTAGGTGAAATAGTCCATTTTTGCCTATTTTTGAGTAAAATCAAAAAATTCATAACCCAATCAGATTATCTCAGAATATGAACATGTACTCTGTTTTACCTGCCCTAAATGGTTTTTTACTTGAGAATAGTAAAAAATATTCTTGTACGACGGGAGATTTCTAGAAAACCTTTTTAAAAGCCGAAGTATTTTTAAAGCTTTTGTTGAACTGCGCAGTATTGAGTAGTCGAAACAGAGTACATGTTCATATTCTGAGATAATCTGATTGGGTTATGAATTTTTTGATTTTACTCAAAAATAGGCAAAAATGGACTATTTCACCTAATATACATTTTCACTAGGTTTTTGAAACTTTTTTGAAAAACAAATGTTGCCACGAGATTCAGCATCTGTAGAAGATACTTTGGGTATCTACCTATGAAGAAAAATCGGTGAATTGCTATTTTTGTTTTCGCAAACCTAAGCTAGTTTTTCAAAGGTCGATCTTTTCCAAACTAGTTTTTGCTTATGCAAAGTTAGCTTCAAGTGTCTACTTTCGATTGCTGAAAATCGCAAGTCTCTAGCACCTATCGTTGTTGAGTTATTGTAAAAACAATCGAATGCACTATATTTCGGCGCCGATAATAGTAAGCAGTAAATAGGTAAGTGAATTCACTCATTACGGTGAACTTGCATAAGTCGTTAGGAAATGAAAAGTAACACCCTTAGTTGTATACGGTCAGAAAACCTTTCAGTATATCTCTGCTAGATTGAGATGAGTGGAGACATATGAATCTTTATTAAGATTACTGTTTCGCAGCGAACGG